CAGCATTTCCAAGCAGCTCTCCCATCCCTGTGCTCACAGATGGCCGTGAGGGACACCAGAGCCCTGCTCTGAGGAGAGGAGAGGAGAGGAGAGGAGAGGAGAGGAGAGGAGAGGAGAGGAGAGGAGAGGAGAGGAGAGGAGAGGAGAGGGGAGGAGAGGAGAGGAGAGGAGAGGAGAGGAGAGGAGAGGAGAGGAGAGGAGAGGAGAGGAGAGGAGAGGAGAGGAGAGGAGAGGAGAGGAGAGGAGAGGAGAGGAGAGGAGAGGAGAGGAGAGGAGAGGAGAGGAGAGGAGAGGAGAGGAGAGGAGAGGAGAGGAGAGGAGAGGAGAGGAGAGGAGAGGAGAGGAGAGGAGAGGAGAGGAGAGGAGAGGAGAGGAGAGGAGAGGAGGTTGCTCTGGACGTGGGAGCAGGGAAAAGGGAAATGGAAGAGACTGGGAAATGGAAAAGACACTGTGAAGATGTTCTTTACAAACTGTCACAATGCCCTCCACTTAAACATTTGTAGAGCAGCTATGGAACACCAGTGATAGAGGGGAGGCAACAGATGGCAGAATTCAGAACATTTGTTCTTGGGTTTGCTTCAAAATCCCTGAGCTCTTTGGACAGTCCATTCCCAAGCAGCAAGGGAAGGACTGTGGAGAAACAATTGGCATAATTTTATCCTCTGCTTTTTTGCAGCTGCCAGCTTGTCTGTTGTTTAGTGAAGACATCACTCCAAGAACCTCCATGCAGGCTGAGAGCAGCACATCACAAGGGAAACCCATGAGAAAAACCTGCTTGGGATCTGTGTGTGAGTGTGTATAATCCTTCATCCCTAAAGAACATCTGCAGGGGCTTCTGAGGGAGGGGGGCAGCGTTTGCTGTCACTGCTGGACAAAGCTCAGACCTGCCCCTTTGCACTCACTCTGTCTACAGAAAAACTGCAAGGGCTCCACTCCTTCCTTTCTAGCAACTGCTTTCATGAATCCAGATTTTAGTGGTTTGGATTTTATTTAAATCAAGCACTTTCTGATGTGAATAATACCAGCAAAACTTTTGTAACTTGGCCTGGAAGATGGGAAAAAATGCAGGCACCAAAAGCCAAGGCAGGCTCTTAAATGTCAATATTCATTAGGCACTTTTTAACATTAGTCCTGGTGCTGGAATCTGCCCATGCAGGCTGGAGGATGAGGAAATATTATTTGAACACATCTGCTCCAAGAGATACTGTCAGACTTGGGGAGCATCTTGTGGTAATTAGAGGAATTCATTTCATTATTTAGTCCAGCAGCGTTTTGGTTCTTTTCCTGATTTTTCCCCCTTTGGTTTCTTGTTCATTTGTTTATTGTTTTGTTTTGGGGATTTTTTTCCTTTTTTTTTCTTTTTTATGGGGGATCCATTAAAATTTTATTTTCTGCATTTTTTAACAACTGAAAAGCTCCCTGGCAATATTAAGGCCCTGTGTTCTCATAGCACCTCCCCACCTGCTGCAGAGCACCTGGGTAAGAAACATTTTGGTAGGTAAGGAAAAGAACCTTGCAACCAAGTACTGTACTGTATTTTGAACTTTTGGCTCAAAATATAAAGCAGCTGTAGTCCAAATTTGCTTTTCCCCTTTCCTCTGCCATATCTTCTCCCTCTTCATTTCCCAATCCACACATGTGCATCTCTCTGCAGACAGAGGCCCCCACGAGACCCCTGTGCTGTGGTTAAAGCAAACCTTTGACTCTCCTGTCCAAAACACTGCCCTGAGCCCTCCCAGTCACTGGTTTGGAGGGTTCCCTACTTAGTGTGAAAAAAAGGGGTTGAATCCAGATCACATCCCAGGCCAGAAGCATCTTCTCCTCTGTGCTCCCCAAATCAAAACTCTCCCCTCAGCAACATCCGTCTCCTGAGAAGAATCACTTTACAAAATCTATTAAAAAAAATAACAGCTTTAAGCCCTTTTTTTTTTTCCTTTTTTTTTTTTTCCCTGGAAAAGAGGCATCTAATATTGTTTAATTAAAAGCTCATTCTGCAAGGCTCATTTGATGTCAGCTTTGAAATCCTGTGCGTTGTGTTTCCATTCTTCTTCTTTTGTGTGTTGAATTGAGTACATTTCCAAACAGGGTTTCTGTGTGCTCGCTCCTTGAACCTCAATGCTTTGTGTAGCACTGAGCAGTGACAGAGTTATGTCAACCTCTCTGCTTCACTGGGCACATTTGTTCTCTCAAAATCAACACAGCAGCTGGAGGCACTGACATCTGAAACACTCCTGGCTCCCTTTGCAGCACAGAGCCCCTCTTTGGGCTGGGTGGGGAGCACAGAGTGCCTTGCACTGAGCTCAAGCCAGAAAAACAGGTGCTCCAGGATAATAAAACCTCAGCCAAAACAAAAAATAAAATCCTTGGCTAAGAACATACAGGTCTGTGGGCTGGTTTTGTGACTCCCAGTTAGGCTCCATGGGGTTGTTGGTTGGGGTGGGTTTTTTTAAGGTCAGGCTTGGGTTGGGGCCAGCTCGACCCAAATCTCCCAGTTAAGCTAAACACAAGAACCTGGCTGGGCTTTAATCCTGCTCCTGGGGAGGAGAGCTGGGCAACCCAAACTCTGCTCCAGGAGCTTCTCCAGCCTTCCTGGGAAGGGGAAAGGTTGGAGGGAAAGGCAAGGATCTTATAGTGGGGAACGTGATGGAAAAGGCAAGGATCTTATAATGGAAAATGATGGAAAAGGCAAGGATCTTATAATGGAAAATGTGAAGGAAAAGGCAAAGATCTTATACTGGGGAATGAAAAGGAAAAGACAAAGACCTTATACTGGAAAATTATGGAAAAGACAAAGATCTTATACTGAAAAATGTGAAGGAAAAGGCAAAGGTCTTATACTGAAAAATGTGAAGGAAAAGGCAAAGATCTTATACTGAAAAATGTGAAGGAAAAGGCAAGGATCTTATAATGGAAAATGTGAAGGAAAAGGCAAGGATCTTATACTGAAAAAATGTGAAGGAAAAGGCAAAGATCTTATACTGAAAAATGTGAAGGAAATGACACATCTTACTGGGGAATGTGAAGGAAAAGGCAAAGATCTTATACTGGAAATGATGGAAAAGGTAAAGATCTTATACTGAGGAATATTAAGGAAAAGGCAAAGGTCTTATACTAGGGAATGTTAAGGAAAAGGCAAGGAACTTATACTGAAAAATGTGAAGGAAAAGGCAAAGGTCTTATACTGGGGAATGCAAAAGAAAAGACAGATCTTACTGGGGAATATGAAGGAAAAGGCAAGGATCTAATACTGGAAAATATGGTTTTGCAAGAGATGGATGCTGGAGAGCCTGACCCAAAATCCTTCTCAGGAGATTTGGGAGGCTAAGCTGGGCAGCTGTGAGGATCCAGCATGCTGGAAAAGCAAGGTGGGATATTGGAGGTACAACATAATGCTTGAGCAGAAATGCTGTGTGAATTGGGGTGGGGGTAAAACTGTGCAGTGATTGTATTTCTGTCTGGTCACTCTCTGGGGAGTGGAGAGCTTGGGAATGCTGCTGGGAGGGCAGGCAAGGTGTTTTAGCTTTTTTTACAAAACTCATTGAGACGGCAAAGTTTATCCAGAAAAAAAAAATAAAAAAATAAAAAAGTTGATAAGAAACTTGCAAAAGTAATGCAGGATCTCACCCTACTCCTCAGCTTCCACTTTGAGCACACCTGGCTGTTAGATCTCATCCTTAGCTGGCCAGGGACCTAAAAACCTTTTTCTCACCTATAACAGGGACAGCAAACAACCACAAATGTCTGTCCTGAAGAACTGAAGCTTTTATGGGAGCAGCTCTGTTTGTGTCTGGATGAGCACTTTGAGAGGACAACAGCACCAGAAGGTCCTCGAAGTGCTGGGAAGATGCAGCAGGAAGGCAGTGAAAGGTGGGAGGGAGAACTCGTGAGAGGGTCCCTTCCAACCCAGAACATTCTGGGATTCTGTTCAGATGCCAGGGAGGGTGAAGGGGCTGCTCAGCTTTGCCTGAAGCATTAACGTGTTAATGCTGAGCTCTGAACCATTTCAATTTTATTCCTAACTTTAAGTGTGTGCACAGCTCATAAAATCAGTGATGTGGGTGCCCAGTGGAGATGAAAGCTTCCAGCCTGATGTGTACAGTGAATAACAATGATAGTGCACTTGCACATTTTAGAATTGTTCTGCTGCTCTGGAAAGATGAAGCTCTGCCATGAAATGGTGGATTTCCCTCAGCTTTGGGAATTTGTTAATTTTCAGAGGGCTTTTCCATTGGAAACAAAGTGCTCGGAGGTGCCTGCCTGGCCTCTCTGTCAGGGAAAGAGGGAAGACTGGGGGCTAGGAGTGTGAAATTGGGCAGGTTTGCCCTGCCTGTGCTGAGCAGAGGAGTGATGTGGGGGTCTCTGTTTTGGGGGGAGCCCATCCCCAGTGTCATTCTGCTCTCCCCAGCCCGGCCGAAGCAGAGGTGTGGTCATGGGGCCTGTGGCTGCAGGAATCATCTCTGTTGTCTGATTCAGAAATGAGTGGTTGTCATGGTTACCTGCCTCCCTGTCCTGATCTTGCCAGATGTCTTCTCTGGAGCCTTGGAGCGAGATTCAGCCTTTCCCTCCTGTGGGGACGGCGCTCTGATCTGCGCACCTTCCATCCCAAACACGCTGCGGTGACATTTGTGTGCTCGGGGGTCTTGGGAGCCCTTGGTGCCCCTGTCTCCTTCCTGATCCTTCAGAACAGGAAAGAAGTGATTGGAATGAAGGTTTCTCTGGGCTTATTTAGGGGGGCAGCCCTGAGCTGGCAGCGCTGTGGGGTGTCTGGGTGAGTTCTCTCTTCCCCAGGCCACTGTACCACCCACAGAAATCTCCCAGGGGTCAGCCCAGCTCTCTTCTCTCTCAGTCTTGTTTTTCAATATCAAACTAGTGTGGCAAGTTATAAAGTGACCTGAAACACGGAGGTCAGTCTCCACAAACCTTTTGGATTTAATATTTCCCCCCCTTTTTTAGTGCCTTTTCTCCTTCTTTGCCAGAAGAGGAAGCTTGAGTGAGAGGGGGGCAGTTTAACAAAGAGTCTCTTTAGGGGTTTTTTGTTCTGCCTCTGGTTGGTATTGCTTTGGAGAGGAAACTGAGCTCTGAAAAAGACCTCACGTAGCAAGGGGATGGCAGGGCATGCAGCAAGTCCTGCTGCAGGAATTCTTGGAGGAGGAAGGTGGAGAGTCTCAAAGGAGGCATAAGGTCATTTCCTTTTTAACAGAGTACATTTCAGAGATGCTTTAACAATTGATCAATATCTAAATGTGCAGCCTGCTGTAGGGTTTGGTGATGGGTTATTTTACAGACTACCATGTTAACAGGCTGAACCCCTGAGCTGCAGGGAAGGTGACTGTCCCATGGGGAAGGATAATTTGCTCCTCTGGGCCTCTTTTGAAATGAGGTCAATTATATTAAGGAAGATAAATCCAATTAAAATTATGAGGGTGCAAGGAATTCACTGTTGCTTTCTTTCTGCTCAACTTTTATAGTAACAATCACTACCAAAACCCCAGGAAGGAGCCCCAGTATTTCCCAGGAATGAGGGGCAGGGGAATCTCCGTGCATGGACAGCCAAGTGTTCCAACACAGCTCTGGCTCGGGCTGCTGAGCCCCCTTGGAGCCTGGGCTGGAACATCTGCTCCATCTCCTGCAGGAAGGTCAGCCTGAGCAGCCAGGCAGAGGAATCTGGTCCTGACTGCTGCTGAGGGGTGGGTCTTGGGGCTGGGCAGCTGTGTCTGGAGCTGGGAGTCTGTGAGCCTGAGGTGCTCCTGGGGAAACACATCGGCTTGTGAGGGCAGGGATCCAGGCTGTCCCTTCCCTTCTGCCTCCTGGATGGCTGGAGTGGCTCCCAGCAGAGCACTGGGCTTCCCCAGCCCTCCCAGAGGGGTCCTGGTGAGGTGTTCTTGGCATGATGTGAGTGGAAGGAGGTGTTGGGTTAGGGCAGCAATCCCTTCCTGCTTCGGTGGCTCTGCCAGCATCCAGGACCTGCTGCTCTGCCCTGCTTACCTGGGAAAACCCTTGGATTAACAAACCTGCCCAGCATTTCCCAGGGTTTTGCAGATCTCCCCCTTCAATCTCCTGAAATCCACATCACACTTCTCTAACTGTTTGGGAGTTTATCTGGAGCAGTGGAGAGGGAGCAGCTCTAGTTGTCCTGAGAACAGACCTGGGCCCCCTGGAGATGGAATTGGTGCTCTGTGCCTCAGGGTGACCAGTGCCACAGGACTGGGAAGGCCTTAGTCTTTTAATTAGCATTAATAGGGCAGGTATTATCTTAATGAAAAGACTGGTAGTGACACCGAAGTTGCATTTGAGGTTTAACTGCTGCAGGATTCTGACTGAGCTGTATGTTTGTTAATCCTCAGTGAGGGAGTTCTATTTCACTGAGTGATGTTTATTTAATATACAATAAGTGTCTTAATGATCTCTATTAAAGGCATATGTGGAAACCTTAATTTGATGCATTACAGAAGAGAGTGAGATCTTCAATTCAAAAAATCCTTTTTAAACACTGTGAGCTCCAAAATCTGGCCAGAGCCAAAGCAAACTGTATCCTGTAAACTCTGTGCCAGATGTCTCATGTGGGGTATGCTTAAGGCCCAAAGAAAATAAGGTCTGAAGGGAACAGTTTGGCCACTGACTCCCTAATCCAGCCTGTATAAAGGAGTTTCATTTCCATTCAGGAAATAACCTCTCCTGGATGGATCCTGTTCAAAATGTGTCTGCTGAACAATCCTTCTCAGCAACAAATACGCCTCTGAGCAGAAAGAGGATCTCGTGGGAAGCTTTGGGAAGAATCTGGAACCTCTTTAATTTTGAGAAAAGAAGAGATAGTAAACAGGTTAGAGGTGTCTCTGGGTATTTGGTGATGCACTGACCACTGCCTGGCCTGATGCTGAATACAGATAATATTCTGAAATTTCTGGGTGTGATGTGAGATGGAACTTCAGCCAGCCTGAGTCTCTTGTGTGAAACTTGCTACTGTGCCTTGTTCTGCTCTGGACAGGGCAGAACTCCAGCATACTGAGGTGCCAATAACTCAAAACTTAAAGACTGGATTTGGCACTTGGTGCTGTAGTCTAGTTGTGGTGTTAGGGCAGGGGTTGGACTTGATGATCTCAGAGGTCTCTTCCAACCTCATTATTCTGTGATTCTGTGATTTTAGTAAAGAGTTCTGTCTGTTGGAGTTGTTGAACCGTTGCAGGGGAATGCAGAACCTAAGCTGGTGAGAATAGTGTCCTTTTAGCAGGTGGGCAGTCCCTGGTGCTGCTCAGTTTGGTTCTGACTCTGGCGGGCAGAAGGTTTTGATGGTGCCCAGAGCTGAGGGGGAAAGTGCAGATGCCAGGCTGGGTGCTGCAGCTCAGGTTACATCCAGCAGCAGTTTTCCCAGCTGGCACTTTTGTGAGCTCTGCTTTTGCTGAACTAACTCTGTAATAGTGACAAAAGTTATTAGCAGAAAGGATTTCATGTTGCCGTTTGAGTGTGGTGCAAACAAGATGTTGTACTTGGAAGGGGATGGTCTGTGAAATCTTTTTGTGCTGACAGTTTATCTGAGAGCAGTTTTCAGCTCGCACCTGCCCTTCGGTGGTTTAGAGATGGGCAAGGACCACTGGCTTCTTTTGCAAGTGCACAGCGCCATTGTGTGGTGGTTTTATGAGGGCTGACCTTTGCCAGGTGAGAGCAGGAGCTTTTGTATCCTTTTGGGCACTATTTGGGGCATTCTTAGTGTGGGAAGGGTGAGGGTAATGTCGGGGTTCCCCTGTTGGAGACTGACAGAATGTGATGCTGCACATTCCTGGGAAGGAAGATGAATTATCTCATCGTTGACATTGTGCACAGTTTTAGGCTGCAAAAGAAAAGTGAATTCCAGCATTGCCTCTTTCTTCCAGAACCTCTTCTGTGCTGAAGGTTTGCAGCTCCTGAATGTTCTTAGTTTTAGAACTGGACCCTGTGAAAGTGCCCGAGGGCCCACTGAGCCGAGCACACAGAGCTGGGTGTGCTGCACTTCAGAAGCTGCAAAAGTGAAGGCCAGCACTTACTTTTTGTTCCAGGATCTCTGGTGTTGGAGCAGTGGCTGGACATATTAAATTTTGCAGCTGGGTTCTGCAAGACTGGAAGGATGTGATGGGACCTGCACCTGAGCAGGACAGTGCCAAACTCCAGATGTGTTGCTTTTCCCAGGATGCAAGTTAATTTTGGAGACAGCAACAGCTTGCTGAGCTGGAACCTTTTGTGACCAATATTTACATTTGATACAGTTGGTTTAGTTTCAGCAGCTCTGCAAGATTGAAAGAATGTGATAGGATGTTGAGTGTGAAAGGGAAGCTCATAGCCTTGGTTTGCATGGTGTTGTTATTGTCTTTGATGTCAATGTGAAACCCAGCAACTGTTTCCCCCTCTTTTGTTTCCAGATTAAAATTATGGAGCTGGATTCAGTGAGAGAGCAAAAATGTAAAGGTGCACACAGCACCTGGCCTAAGCACCACCATTTTGGTGTTATCTCCAACTTGCTGAGGGTGCCCTCTGCCCCAGCTTTCAGACCATTAGTTAAGGAAAGTATTAAGCAGGATAAGTCCCAGTGCTGATTCCTGGGAGACACTGCTTGCTCCTGGCTCCACTCTAGACTTGTGCTGCTGAGCAGAAACCCTGGGGCCCAGCTGTCCAGCCCTGTTCAGTCCTGGTCACAGTTGGCTCATTCAGCCCATGTTCCTTTGAGTGAATTGAGCTTCATATTTAAAAAACCAAAATCGCTAGTGGGCACATGCAAGCCCACAACTTTCAAAATTCATCACACCAACATCCCTCACTGCGTGTTTCCACCAATTGTCCCAAAACCTAAAGAGAAGGAAACACCCTGTAAAATATTCACGAAAGGCCAAGAAGGGGTTTTAATTATGGCTTTGGATCTTATATTTGTAGGTTCCAAATTAGTGTTTCCTGCTTTTTCTTTCTGACTGGTGGTGCTCCCTGAGCTTCACAATCTGGCTGCAGAGCTCACAGCCCCGCTGTGAGGGTCTCCTCTGCTGTCTCTCTCTTGACAGGCGTTGTTCATAAGCAGCCCTGTGTGCTGGAGGAGGCTGGAAGCTCCTCTTGGAGGGCCCTGGAACTGTGGCATCGCTGTCAGTGTTGTCATGATCTGAAGGACTCGTTTTCTTCCTCCTCCTCCTCCTCCCTTCTGAGTTGTTGTGGTTGGTGGCGTTCATGAAACTTCTGCGGCGTTCATTGCCCCACTGTGGGGATCTGCTCCTCTCCCTGGCTCTGTTCCTCTGTTCCTGGCTGTTTGTCACCCTCATCCTACCAGGCAGACTCTGTGCTCCTGCAGAACCTGCCTGGCTGTTGGCCTCCCCCTGACTGAGGAAGGAAGGGAACGATGAAGAAGATGCCGTTTCTTCCATTTGTGACTTGGAGCACCTGAAGAACAAAAGAGGGATCTGCATTTAGGGCATTTCTTGTAGACTTATCTGGGATCCTGTCATTTTTTGGAGTGGTGTCTATGACAAGGTCACCAATGGGAAATTCAGACAGCTGGGACCTTCTTACCAGGTCTGTCCCTGTCCTAGGAAGTCCTTGTCTTTATAGCCCCTACAGCCTCCATTTCACAGACTCACAGGGTTGGGTTGGAAGGGATCATAAAGCTCATCCCATTCCAACCTCCCTGCCATGCACAGGGACACCTTCCACTATCCCAGGTTGCTCCAAGCCCCAACCTGGCCTTGGACACTTCCAGGGATGGGGCAGCCACACCTGCTCTGGGCACCCTGTGCCAGGGCCTCACCACCTTCAGAGGGATGAATTTCTTCCTTGTATCTAATCTAACTCTTCCCTCTTTCTCTTTGAAATTGTTGTCCCTTGTCTTGTCACAACACTCCCTGATGAAGAGCCCTCCCCATCTTTCCCGGTGGCCCCTTTAACTCCTCTCCTCTGCATTAGCCACCTCAGAGAGCAGACCAGGAGCAGCTTACAGGGACAGCAGCCTAAAGCCCAGCACGGGGAGAGAAGAACTGGTGTGGAATAGTTCAGAACTGACAGCACTGAAGGATGAGGGGAGGAATTGTCTCCTATGGCAGAAACACTCAGGAGGATGAGACACAAACAGCAAATCCAGGAGAAGGAAACAAACTGTGAACACGTCACCCTGTTTTACCTGACATAGAACAGCAAATAGGCTTGTTGGCCCAGAACTGTGTGGATGCCACAACTATCCACAGACATATCGTTCATCTTGTACCACTGCCCATTGCTGGCCTGCAAAGGAAGGCATCCATCTCTGGAGGGGAAGGGCAGTGTTTCTGCACAGAAAACTGCCAGACCAAGGGCACAGCAAAACAAGTCCAGTCCAGCCCCAAAGCAGGAGCTCCCCCAGCCTGACTGCCCATAACATGGCCAGGATAGTCTGACTTCCCAGCACACGTTCTTCCCTGTCAGGAGGGAAGCTGCTCTTCACCTTGGTGTAGCAGAAAAAGTGTCCACCAAGACAGGTGTGGCCAGTGTGCACCACAACAGCATATAAGGAGTAGAGGACGGGCTCTCCAACTAGGTCAGACATGTATGGCCGAAGATCCAAGTACTCAGGGTACTCCACAACCTATGGAGAAACCAAGATGGCTCAGGAATGTTCCTGAGCTACCACTTGAAATAGCCTTTGACATGTGATGGTTGGGTGGGAGGAAACTTCTCTGCCAGAGCAGAGTCCAGGCTGGGCTTCCCACGGGAAGTCTCCTCTCCCCGGGAGGGAACACGGAAAGCCCAGCATGAGCAGCTCGTGACAGAGCCTTGGGGAATCTTCTCTCCACAGGGGAAGCTGCTCTGGTTGCATACACACCTGGCTGAGCTTCCTGTTGCTCTGATGATCAGCCCTTCCCAGACACACCGTCAGGACCCTGGGTGCCTGGTGGACTGTGACCACCTTGGAGGCTACGACCTTCTTCCTACACCTGGAACCCAAGCACAGAGCTGAGTGCTGAAATGAAGCCAGCCTTACCTCAAGAGTGCAAGAAAACCTTTCCTTTCTCCCACCTGGCACTAACTTTAAGGCTAGTCCATAATAAAAATGCTGCATCCCATTATTGTGCATGAAACCTGAGAAACTGATTCTGCTTGACTTCACACAGCCCCTCCCTCATACAGAATCTGGGGTTAATGTACTGTAAGAAATCATCTTACTTGGTACATTTGAATAACTTTTTCCCATCCGTCAGCTTGGGTTTCACAAACTCCTCCAGAGCTGTGGTGAGGGATGAAGCTCCCTGGAGGAGTGAGAAAGGAGCTGCTGAGCTCTGGAAATGCCCTCACCCAAACATTTCCCAGGAGCTGACAGGAAGGTCCCAGCAGTTGATTCTGAGGAGAGCAGCCACGACCCCACAGGCAGTGTTTGTAAGGACACAGAAAGAGGGTGTGATACTGAACATTTCCCTGTGTTCCAGTGGCTCCTGGGGCCATCCAGAGCTCCCTCTCAGTGCCACTGCTCAGTTCAGCTCCTGATGGCGTGCAGGGGCATCAGCAGTGAAAACTGATCCAACCCATCAGCCTGCTACTTGTGTGCCTGCCTCTTTTCCCAAGGGTTCTTTGTCTTTGGCAGCAGCAAAACGCTTCTGACAGCTGAAGGTGCTTTTTTGGGTAACATTTGGGGTTTTAAAAATCAGTTTATTGAGCTACAAATATTTCCCTTCTCAACAGGTGATCTTTCTGGAGGAGGTCCTGATATCCTTTGTCAGATGGGTCTTAAGGGAGGGCAAAGGGAAGAGGGAGGAGAGTACACCAAGGGTGCAGAGGGGATATTGATACTTAAACCCAGCACCACAAAAACACCAGTGCCATGGCCTCTGCAGAAGGACACTGTTCATTCCACTTCCCACTCACCACCAAGATCCCTTGTGCTCACAAAATAAGTTTTTAAGATGAATACTTTGGTTCTGGAAAGCTGCAGGGACCTCTTGAAGCACAATGGCAACCTCTTACCTTGATTTGCAGTAGGATATCCAGGAAGACCTTGAAGAAATCAAAAACTGTTTTGCAGATCTGACATGTGACTGGAAGGAAAATCAAA